GTCTAAATTTGATAAATAAATAAATATAAATAAATAAAACCTGACTCTCCCCTACCCCACCAATACCTTGGAGTAGTGTCTTTGGTGGACCCTATGAAGGATATTTGTTTTGGCAGTAATTATGCTTCTCTTCCAATTGATTGTTTCATATGGTTTCTGCATTATTTTATTATTGTTTCATATTGTATGGCATCCAGAATTGAAAACAGGCAGGCAATTTGCAAATGTAATAAATAAATGAATAAATAAATCTGGTGAGAACTTGATGGTACAATCTGTTCTGCTTTGCTTTGTTCTTTTGTCTACTCTGACATACAAACACTAGAGCAATGGCTGGCTACATGTTCCCTAAAATTATGAAACAGATGCTTGTTTCATTCTGTTGTCTGATGATTCCTACTTATTATGGTCTGATAGCTCCAAGAAAAATGGTGACACACGTGAATGGATTATCATTTTCAAAAAGCCCCAAAATAATTACAAGTAAAAACAGATGAGGTAGGTTTTTTTTATCCACAAGGTGTCTGGAAAGAGTAACGATTTGAAAAATAACTTCCTTGAAAGATTGGCTTCATGAAACAAGTTATCTTAAATCTTGATAGTTGCTCAGATATAACTCCAGTTACAAGGGTTGAAAGAGAAAAATGGAGCTGAAAATACTTATATAACACTTCCCTAATTTTAATGAAATATGCTCGTTTACTCCCCCATTAACAAACTCAGAAGTAAGTTGTACAAATGCAATCTAAAGAAGCACAGACCTGTTGCAGGTAGCATGGAAGTCAGTTGCAATGTAAAAAATAATAATTTTTGTTGTGTTTTTCCTTTGGCTGTGTGATTAAATTATATTTCAGTGTGTTTTATAAAGTGTGCGCTGTCAAAGATGGCTGCACTTTCCTCTCCATTGAAGAGAGCAATAGTATAGTGGATACAATGTTGAATTGTGACTGGGGAAACCCAGATTCACATCCAGCCTCAGCTAAATAAACAATCTGGGTAACTCTGGTAAAGAGAATAAAACTAACAAACAAATAAATAAATAGAACAAGCAGGAAGAAACACTAATAAGAAGGACAATATATCCATATAATGATTGATCAAGATAGCTAATGGAGAGGTAAGATTTAGAGAACCAAAACATTGTAGTTTAAAAGAATCCTATCCTATTACCTCTGGTGCTTTATCAAAAGAAACATTGTCAAATTAGTACAATTTCACCTGTGCATTAGAGTGCTGAATATACCAGTATTTACATATGAATATTTTTGAAGAAGATATTAAACTAAAGCATTTAAAAATTATTCTGGGGAAAAGATAAAATTGTCCAATTGTGTGGAGAAAGATGGTGGGATATATGGAGTTACATTGTTTTACATTTGACTGTTTTAAATTTCTTTTTTAGTTATTTAATAAAAGTCTATTGCTTTGAAAAAAACTGTTGGAAGAAGCTAAGGGGCTGAAGTGGTGGAGGATAAAAAAATATTTCTTCGCTTCCGTAACTGCTATAGAATAAGTTTGATTTTCTGTAGAAATCATTACTAAGATATAATCAGATTCAAGAGGAGTTTTTCTCCACCTGTTTTCTAATCATCTTCTGACGTGCTTCACTGCCCTCATCTGAGGTGTATTTCAAGGAGCCTATGGGTTCAGCACAATTTATTTACTTACTGAAATTTGTATGTTTTCCCAATCAAGGGCTCTGAATACCTCATAGTTCCATAAATTCCAAAATCAATTATCAATAAGAACAATTCTACAATAAAATAGAACATTCTCAGAGGTATAAACCAGACCAGAGATCTCCAAACTTGGCAATTTTAAGACTTAAAGGCAACTTAAAGCTGTGCTGGCTGAGACATTCTGGGTGTTGTCCGCAAGTCTTAAAGCTGCCAAGTTTGGGGGGCCCTGAACTAGACAGTTAGCAGCCGTAGTGTAGCACTCCCTTGCATAAATCAGTATTGTTACTATCTTTTGGAAGATTAAAGCAGAGTGGAGGCCAACTTGACATTGGGAGGCAAGCTGTTCCATAAGGCTGGATCATCCACTTAGTGTTCAGGAATGATCAGATCAACTGCCTAGGACATTTCCTCATTTCACAAAGCAACATAGGACCAATGGTTTCTGGCTACTATTAGTCTCCAGGCAAGAATCATCAACCACAAATCTACCAAATAATTATCCATTTCAATGTCTTTTTCAAACCAAATATTACATTAAACAATTTGTTTAAAAATAGTGAATGTGCACTTGTAAGAGAAATCTCCCTCGCAAATTTCCCCTAATTTGTCTAAACCAGAGACCAGCGCACAATCATATAGAAACAGATATTGTTTACTATACTATGCAAAGCAACTACAGCAAACCTAAATATGGGTGAAGTCAGTCCTGCATATGGTTGAATATAGGAAATCAAATGTGTAGTGAGGTCAGCAAATCAGGGTAGTACTATGAAGTAATAAAGACAGTATTTCAAAGACTTCAATATATTTGAAAGAACAGAATATTCCATGAAAATTATTTTTGCTAGGGAGTTACTTTTCTGGATTTATCTTAAAGTGGTCTTGCTTTTTAGATCTTTTGTTCATTTCTTGGTGTCTCCTCCTAGCTCTGTCAACAATCCTTGTTCTTCTCAGTTTTATGACTGAGCAGGTTTATTTTTTCTCAACCCCTGGAAATGTAATTTTAGGGAGGGGAATGTGTCCCTAACCAATGGCATTTTTCTACTATGTTACTATAATAGAATGTAATATGAAAGATACAGGTGATAGAATTGCACAATTAAAGTTGAAGTATTTCTTTTATGTTTTATGAAAGTCATGGGATGAAATCGTGGACTGTAAAAGTTTGTGCTAGGACCAAAAATGCTACCTGGGTCTGCCTTTTTAAATTAGCATTCTTAAATGTCTTTTAAGAGGTCTATGGGATTCTCAGTCATCCAAGTCATGGTTTCTCCAAAGGCGTTTTTTCAAGAGGCACCTGGACTTTCTTCTAACCCAAGAGCTAAAGAAACTTCTGGGATGAGAAGCTGGACTTTCTGGTTTTTCTCTTAAGACATCTTGCTTCTCATCCAAGAAGCTTCTTTAGCTCTTAGATGAGAAGAAAATCCAGTTGCCTATTGAAAAAGCACCTTTGGGATCTTCTGAGAGGTGTTTATCTAAGATTTTTGAAATGTGTGGGAGGATATGTATATTGACTTCAGTGGACAAGGCTCCTGAAATTAGTTATTTTTTTTATCCAAAATTGTTATATATTGCCAGTTATGGTAGACCTTCAGTCAAAATCTTTGGTGTTTATTGGACCTCAAAACATAATGTAATGTACCTTTCCTCCTGGAATTTTTGGTGGTAGAGATAGCATTTCTTCCTCCATTTTTTTCTCCACAACATAGTATCCTTTGTTTTTGTTTTGTTCATTACTCAGGGTTTCTTAGATAGAAGGGAGCCACATATACATTGGATTAATAATAAAAAATATTTTTTTAAATGATTCAAGATTGGGCTTTGGAAATTTATGGCTGGCATAAATCTATCATATCTATGAGTCCTGCGGGAATGGGACAGTATAAAAATATACTAAATTCTAATTTACACTTAGAAAGGAATTTACATTTATGAAGCAATTTGTACCTGGTGTTAAATAAATATTAATATATTGTATATTAATAAATCAAGTCAGCTCCAGTTCTGGAGATCTGTGCATGTACTGAGACAAACGGAATCGTGGGCTGCATGGGAAAATTTAGCTGCATTGCAAGTCTTTGCTCTTTGTTTTTTATTTTTATGTTTTTATTTTAGTGTTGACATATATTGCTTTTATTTTGGGGTTGTAAACCACCCAGAATTTGGCTCAAGATGGGTGGTCATATAAATGTTTTAAACAAACAAACTTTAAAAGAAGCAGGATGTGATATGGCAAAACATGAGACTTTCCCTATGCAGTTGATTGAAAAACAGGTGAACAGACCAATTTGTCTTCTGGTATTACTGAAGTGAACCGAGAAGAATGACTTAGGATAATACAGTTCCCTTTCTACTCTATTTTCACATATTTTTGAAGGCTCTTGAAATACATTTGATGGGTGAATATATGTGTATAAAAATTTCTCTGTAGAATTTATCAGGACCAAAAATGCTGTGGACTGACTATTTCTCTATGAAGTGAGAGGAAATTCTTGGATAGTCAATTGACCCTGATAGGACAAAGAAGATAATGAGAAGCTCACAAAGGGTATATAAAAAAACAAAGAGCAATAAATAGAACTACCTAGTTTTCACTGTATTACAACATTGATCTACAGTTCCCTGGGCTGAAAGGTAGCCAGTTCATGTGCATCCAAGGGAATCTCAAAGGAATAAACTCTCTAATGTAAGATGTATCTTAGGATGCCTAGTCTAGCATCTGTCCCTGAGTTTTAACTCTCAAACCTAGTTTAATGTATGGTTTAATAGCTTCAACTAGCAACTCCTATTACAAATTTCATTTAAAGACAGCCATCATTTGTCTTAAGAATGGTATTCTTTTTCTTTCAACTTCTACTGTCCTGTCTTCAAATGATACAAACTATTATGCAGAGAATGCCTTATAGAAAAGCCCATTATCAATTTTCAACCAATAATAGAAATAAATAACATTATAGTATTTTATTATCTGCCTTTATTTGAAATACTATTTTCAGATATTTGGAAATTGGAGGATTATGGTGCTGCTAGTCAGATATCCATTCTCAGAGGGACACGGTAAATTTCATTTTTAAGCAAAGTACAAGCCTTCCAGTTAAATAAAAAAGCTTGTATGTGGTATCATATTATTCTAAATGTTTCAAAACAGAGGACAAATAAAACAAACCCATGATATAGTGATACATGATACAGGAACTGACCCATGTTTCTTAAAATATGATGGCATCTTTTTTAACACCATGGCTACCCATGGTGAAATGTAGCAGGCCAATACTTTTTGCTAAAAAAACAACTCCAACCTTCTACACTTTTCTTTGTCAGGGTGTGGACATTGTAAGAAAATGAAGCCAGAATATGAGAAAGCTGCAGAGATACTCCATGCAGACAGTGATGTAAGCTAATTTCTTTTCCATTTTCAAATGATCCATAATAAGTAACTGAAATAATAAAAAATGTTCTTGTTGCAATTATTTCATCTTCCCAAGGGTTTGCAAAAAAGATAGTTTCAAAGTATAATCTCATTGGTAATGCATGAGTTATGCCAAATAATTAGGAAGAACATTGTGTGTTTAAACACAAACAGAAAAAACATGTTATATTCAGCCATTAAACCTTGTATTGTGCATAATATGATAAAGTTCAAATTCTTCATCAAACTGCTTTGTTTTCTCTATTAATTACAAATTGAATGTTTAACGTAAAAAAATTAAGGAAATACTGGCTTGGGTTTTTGCTATTTACAGATATGCTAATGAAAACCTTCTCACTTTAAACAATTGTCAAAGGTTTTCATTTGAATGTATGTGTACCTAGAAGATCAATTATGCAGATTAGTCATGCCATAAGTAGGAACAGATCTTCACTTAGGCACTTAATACCTTTTCCTTGTTATCTTAAACATCTACTGTATAATGATTCAAGAGCTTGAGACAGAAAGTGGATAGATTTTGAGATTTCAGTATTTGAGACAGCACCCTTGTGCATTTGTGTATCCAAGCATATATGGAGCTTATTCCACATTTTACCTGATGCATTGTTTCTTACTGAGTGCTCTTTATTACAGGGGTGTCAAACTCAATGTCATCATGGCATCATCATATGATGTAATGGGACTTTTTTCCCCTTCACTAAACGGAGTGTGGGCATGACCAGCATGTGACACATCCGGCCCAAGGGCTGGGAATTTGACAGCCCAGGTTTATTGTATTTTAGTTAGATTTTTATTATGGTTAAACAGAAGTATTTTATTATTTTATAAAGCTTCTCTTGCCTTGATCAATTGATTTTGGTGCATCATAAGATCTGTGATAATTTTTGCAATTCTGGAAAAGGCCATCAGGAAAGATCTCTTCAAATGGCATTTACATAAGAGTGTTTTAAAATTACTTTAACCAAAGCACAAGGGCCTATCATTACACAAGTTCTTCAAGCTTGATCACTGCTATTAGCTGTGAAGCTATTCATTGGCTTAATGTTTATTTCTTGGTGCTATTTTTCCCACTTCCCTTTACAGCATTAGATTAAATACCGTAATTAAACAAATGTTTGGTTAATTGGTTGGACATTTTACAGAAGGATTATCCTTGAACGGATAAGGTGTTTGTCATAACAAAACTTGTAAAACTCTCCAGAGTTGAAAGTTTCCAAAGCATTTGTATTGCCTTTCTAAAGTTGTTGTAAATTGTAGATAACTACTCTGTCACCATTTATGTGCGTTGTTCACAATTTAGGATATACTGTTACAGGCATTGCTTTATATTGCAGAAACCAGGTGTTTTGGCAGCAGTAGATGCAACTGTCAACAAAGCTGTGGCAGAAAAATTACACATATCAGGATTTCCAACCGTCAAGTTCTTTCAGGATGGAGAAGAGAAATACACCTTGCCTCATCTCCGCACAAAGAGTAAAATTGTGGAATGGCTCTTAAAGTAAGTGATCTCAATAATAAAACATTTGGAAATAATCAGGTTGTTCCAATGCCTACTTTGGAAGGCTGAGACCATAGCATGGGCTTGCATGTTCTTCCATTCTAATTCCTACAGTTGGCCCAGATCACAGAGTGTATTGCTCTGAAATTTGAAATCAGTTCTCACTTCAAACCACAGTATTGATCTGGTGGTGGTTTGGATGTAAACTATGGATGGAAGAAATAAGCAGGGAAAGAGTGGGGTTTCTCCCCACTCCGGTGGGACTGGTCTATCAGGGCAACCTAGTCTACCTAATTATGGGACGGAGCATACTGCTTCCATTTTTACTTTCAGACCCAATCCAGGGACCTTCTCAGGAAGTTGCTTTTGCGACAAACTATTTTTGTGGCAAATTTATGTTTTACTGACAAAGAAATAAAGGGAGACTAGCATAGATCTATTTCAAGCTATTTAGCTCTCATGAGTTAGCCATACCCTTCTTGTATTCGAATATGTAAGCAGCCCAGGTTTGAATCCCAGAAAGGTATGGCTAGCTGATGAGAGTTAAATAGCTTGAAATAGATCTATACTAGTCTCCCTTTATTTCTTTGTCGGTAAAACATATATTTAAGCAGGGAAGAAATGACCACTCAACTCCAACATGCATTTGTGATGCTCCAGACTCACCTGGAAAATTCATGTGTGAAGCAAATAATTTCATCTGCATATGTTCCCAAATAGACACATGTTAAAAATGCACTTTGTCAGGGATGAGGGATTTGCCAGGAAGGGGAAACTGAAACTATTGACCAGGAAACATAGAAACTACAATATATCCATGAATAGTACTTTTAAAAGGTGATGCTACAAGTCTGTGATGTTGTTACCAGAACATCAAGATGCCTGTTTTGTGCATGGCCATACCTCTAAGGCAACTCCTGCACATTATTGCTCGTAATATTTTCTCAGAATCTAATATATGACTTCAAAAAAGTTGCCCACCAATGTATTTGATCTTAAGAGCCATATTGGATTAATGGGCTATCAACTATTTTGTTTTGAATTAGTTTAAAAAATACTTTGCTAAATACAAATAGCATCTTCATTCCAAGTCCATGATTTGTGGAATTGTAGACAAATATTCTGAGCCTGAGGCTCAATGTATGTAGAAAGATGCAATTCAAAAATAGGGTATTTATAGTAGCATTTTTGTTGCTATTTGGTACTGTAGTAGCATCCTAGTTGAACTTAACTGGTAATTAAAGTTGCTAATCAATCAGGAGCAAATGATAAATTTTAAACAAATGGTAAATTTATGAATTAAAATTGTGTATGTTACACAACAAGAATATAAAAGTGCCATTTTTATACTGTTTAATTTTTGTCAGATTTGTCAGATTGACAAAAAGATCCTTTTCTGTGTTTTGGAAACTATTTTGCAGGACTAAAATTATATATATATATTTTAATTGTGTTTGGCTGTTTTATTAGTTGTGCCTCTTGACAGCCAGTTTAATTAATTTGGCATCACACTAGCTTTATGAAAGAACTTACAGTATAAAACTTCAATGCTAATACCTTGAATGTATTAGTTCAGCTAGGTTTGGTTTCCATGGAAAACCTGTTTGTCATAAAACAGGTAATCAAAGAACTGTTGTTGAATTGCTCCCAGGACTGAGCTATGAATGGGATGAAAAGTTTGATATTTTGAACCATTAACATACTGGTAGTATTCAAATTACATTTGTGTATCAACCTGCTTATATAAATTCATTGTCATCCCCATTGTAACAAAGATAGACGCCTCAAGAAGAAGATATTGGAATAATAAAAGAAAAGACTAAATCTTTTTTTCAGTAAACTTCCTGGTTATCACTTCCATAAAGTAATAACATTATCATAACTTAACTGAGTTAATGTTTGCTTTTGAAATAGCTTTTTAGACACTGCAATTTCACTTGTTATTATTTATTTAGCATACGATGACACCATGACAGAAGAGAAGTAAATATATATACATAGTCCACGTAATTATAAGTAAAACTTCTATGAGGGTATGGCAGTGGCCTCATGAGTGGATGTCCAATTCCAGGCAATGATCATTTCTGGTGTTGCTAGGGAACCAGAGTATGCTTGTTGTGAGCAATCTTGCACAATATATTTAATAGTTTGCATATCAATGCCACAATTGCAACAAGAGGAATTTTCCATCCCCACTGATACAGGGAAAGAGGCACTTCATTAATAATTAATAATAGTTAATAATTAATAAAATTAATTATCTGCCAACTTAACATTGTAGTCCACTACTGTTAGGATATCAAGATAAACCAGAGCTCTTCATAACGAGAGCTAGCCTCAGCAACTCTCATTTTGATGGATTGTACCCGAGAGTACTATTAGCCCTATTTTTGAGTTACTTGAAATGACCCTAACTCAAGAATTGTTAACCCAAAACCAAGACGTGGTTGAGTTTGATTTGTTAGATTAACTGTGGTCAGTCAAAAAAAAAAAAAAAGCTTCCAGGCTCTTATGCCCATGTTGGAGGAATGTGAGATGTACAGTTTTCATCTCCTGGTAATAATTCCTATGTTGCCTTGATATCTGAACTAACTGTATGCCTTAAAATAGAATATATGATAAAAATATATTGTGAATGCACCTTCGGAACAAATATATACCATATAAAAAAATGCTTATAAAAAAATGTTGTAATGTTATTTTTTTCTCCTCAGTCCTCAGGCACCTCCTCCACCTGAACCAACTTGGGAAGAAAAGCAGACAAGTGTTATCCATCTTGCAGGCGAAGACTTCCGAGAATTTTTGAAAAAAAAGAAGCACACTCTCGTAATGTTTTATGCTCCATGTAAGTGAATGTTGTCCGATAAAATATTGAACATTCATCTACACCAGGGCTGTCAAACTCAGATGCATCATGTGCTGGCCACACCCACTCCCATTTTAGCAAGGAGGGAAAAGTCGTGATACGTCACATAACCACAACGTGACAACATGAGTTTGACACCCCTGGTCTATACTGAATATCAGCAGAACGAGAAATGGTTTTCTAGTGGTTTTGAATTAGGTAAGCACAGTTCATTTATTTTGTTCAGTCGAATCCACAGATGGGTGGCAGAGCATATCTCTTACGTTAGAATATCTTGAGTTACTCTTTCACTTTTTGACAATGCCAGCAGCAAAGGGTCAAAAAGAGCAACGTCATGACTTTGGAGAAAGGATGCTTTGCACTGCATTATTAACAACAAAATTAGCGCTTGAACCAGTGATGGGATTAAAATTTTTTTACTACTGGTTCTGTGGGTGTGGCTTGGTGGGCATGGCGTGGCTTGGTGGGCATGGCAGGGGAAGGATACTATACAATCTCCATTCCCTCCCCACCCCACTAACCTGCTTTCCAGCTCCATTCTCCTGTGCAGAGCAACAAAAGAAGACCCAGCCAATCAGCTGGGACTTGGGAGGCAGAGAATAGGTGGGGCGGGGCCAGTCAGAGGTGGTATTTGCCAGTTCTCCAAACTACTCAAAATTTCCACTACCGGTTCTCCAGATCTGGTCAGAACCTGCTGAATACCACCTCTGCTTTGGACTCCATCTTTGGCCAATGTGAATACTAACCAGTTAACCAAACTAGTATAGATAACGCCCTTGGCACAAATGTCATCACATGGTGGGTTCTTCAGGGTGTCCTGAAGATAATCTCAGAGATCAAGAAGCACTGAATTGAACAATATGGATATACTGAAACTAAAAAGAAAACAGAACACAGAACAAAATTAAACTAAAATGGAATGTGGGTTTGCTTATCAGCATCAGCAATAAAAAAACAATAGCAGCAATAAGCCATAGCCCTCATCCTGCTTAGACTACCTCCCACAAGCAGTAACCAGATGACTGAAATGGCTTCCCAGAGTGGCTGTCTAAATGCCTGCTGCTTAATTCCAAGTCCCCCTCAGATCACCTCACCCAAGCAAAGCAGATACATAGCAGCAGGAATATGACTGGTAACTAATGAGTGGATTTATTTTTGATATAAGCTGAAGATTAAATGTTTGTTCTCTATAACAAGAAAGGATTCATACTTCAAGAATAGGACTTCTGGTGTATTTTCAAATAGGTGCAACAATGGTTTTGATAGAGAGCCCCACTTAATTTCTGTACTCTTGTGGTGTATAATGCCGCCTCCTTGAAATAATGAATAGCTTAATCCTCACTCTAGTAAAAGGTAAATACTTGTTTAACTTCTATCATTTCATTACTTTCTAAAGGTTAGAATGGGTACTCTACATTCTCACGTTTATGGTTTTCACTCTGATATATCTGAAATAATCATATTAGGGGTCTGCATCTCCTTAATTATAGTTGGACTGTTTTAAGAAAAATACATGTTAATAGTCTTGCCCCATATATATATAGGTTACAATGACTACCAAAAGAGTTGTTATTAGCTGAGCACATTTCTAAATGCATTTGAGATAACAGATCAGACTTCTGAATCACATTTAGTAGTATCTATACTTTTAATTACAACCACAAAATATTTAAACAAGTTTCTTTAATAATGCATTGCATTCAAAAGGCACTGTTTCTTCAGTTTTATTTTAGATGAGTGTATACATGTGTGCTACATCTTTGATATATATAATGCACTCATATACAATAGCTATTTCTTAATCAAACGCTGTAGGGAATCACATCTCTGCTTGCAGTGCGATAATTATAAAGAAAAGCAGAAGTACAAATCATTGTGCATTGAAATTTGCTCTCCTTTTGTACCAATAATGAGCCTTCTGTTAAAATATATTTTTTATCATTTCTTCAATCATGGAAGCTCTTGGAGTGTTTATTCCTACCATTTATTACCAACTTGCTTTGTTTTAGTACAGAAGAACCACTAACATTGCCATGCTACTGTGGTTTAAATAATTTTCTTTCTCAGCTCTGAATCAAGTCCCGCATTAGTGAAGCTTGTTAGCTGAAACTTTCTTAACTGTGTTCACCAGAGACATAGAAACATCTTGTGTAATTCAATTTGTTTGTGGATTGGAACAGTTCAGTTCAACTCAGTACTTTTTAAAGATTGCGTTTGGTTAAGGAAAGCATCTTTGCAGACATTATATTATCTCCTACATCTTCATAAATCACTACTGGGAAGCAAGTAAACCTGTAGAAAACTAGTTCGCAAATAGTTTTCTTTCCCTTTCATTTTTCAGATTGCAGAAGTAGTGCCTGCAAACTTCTTTTCTGAGACTTTGCAACCAAATGTTGCTGCATTGAATTCAGGATTTTAACTGATTCATTTTCTCCTGTAACCTTCCCCCAGTAGCTTGAGACTATCCGCTCTTCTAAAGTTGATTGCTGTATTCTATTAGCTGACCGAATTCTTAGATTGCATGATGAATTTTGCTGCTGAGTTTGGAGATGGTGAGTCTGTTTTGATCTGGTTTTGAGAGAGTAGGAGACCAGATATGATACACTGATGTGGACAGATTAGAATCTTACGCTCTTTCATTGCTTTCTAGGGACATTTAAAAGTAGCTTCTTGGGATGAACTACTTACTATACCAGCCTATTTATACAATTAGTTAGTTCTTGTTTTTTCCTCTCTCTTCCTTTTTCTAGACAACACTCTTAATCACTGAGGGGTGTGTGTGTGAGTGTGTGTGTGTGTGTGTACAGTATATATATGGAACTAGCAGAACACTGCTTAAGCAACACATATTTCATATACAAAGGACAAAGATACAAGCAAATTGAAGGAGCCCCTATGGGATCAGCATTGTCACCCGTCATTGCAAACCTGTTCGTGGAAGAATGGATGACGTCTGGGCACTTGTCCTGGGGTGGGCTGATCCTGCACTGCGGCCCCAGGAGATTCACCTCCCCACGTGGGGTTGGGCTGCCCTCTCAGGCAGGGGTGTCTTTGTCATACCGGTAGTAGGGCGTCGTTTTTAAAAGAATTGGCTTTGCCTTCGAAGGTGAAGGGAAGGCAGCAACAGGAGCACCTGAAGCTGAGTGTCTCGGCCGGGCTCCAGATCCAGGGAGGAGCCCTGGCTGGCCACACGTGGCTGCGCCAAACGCCGCACTGTTGCTCTAAGCGCCGCGGCAGCACGGGGAGAAGGGAAAGCAACGGTGGCAGAAGGTCTCCTGATACGAAGTGCCCCACCAGCGCCAAGGTCAACATCCAAGCCGTCACCGCCTGCCCGCCTGAGGATGCAAGGGGGGGAAATTAAGTCACCCCGAAAAGACGGCCTAGCTGTTTTTTCAGGGGTCAAAAAAAAATAAAGCCCGGCCTTATTTTGTGAGAAACATGGTATATAATATATGTTTTCGTAAGTTTTCACAGGTATTTATATGTTTGGTATTCAGCTCTGTTTGGGTATTTTCCCACATCATTATAGGTGTGTTTTTAAAGTTGTGGTGACATTTTAGCAGAATCTCATCTGCCATCATCAGGCTTGTGTATTGTGTTCGTCTGTGAGTTAGGCTTTCACAGCCGTTTTCTGTTTTAAATTTGGTGCTAGCCTACTACTGTGTTCAATTTGCTTGTATCTTTGTCCTTTGTATATGAAATATGTGTTACCATCTCTTGGAAATGATCAAAGATCTACACGTGGAACAAAAAGATCTGCTTGTAAGTTTCGATGTGGTTTCACTATTCACTCAAATCCGGATAAAAGAAACCCTAGAAATCATCAAGAATAAATACCAACCACCCAAACACCTCATGGAACTAGCAGAACACTGCTTAACCAATACTCATTTCATATACAAAGGACAAAGATACAAGCAAATTGAAGGAGCCCTATGGGATCACCACTGTCACCCGTCATTGCAAACCTGTTCATGGAAGAATTTGAATCCAGAGCCCTAGCCAATGCCACCCACAAACCCAAACTATGGTTAAGATACATTGATGACACATTTGTGATTTGGCCCCATGGAAAAGAAAACCTAAACAATTTCCTAACACACCTAAACAGCACACACCCCAAAATCAAATTTACCATGGAAACGGAAACAAACAAACAGCTACCATTCCTAGATGTACTAATCTACAAAAAAACAGAGGGCACACTAGGACACATCATATACCAGAAGAAAACACACACCAACTGCTACCTCAACGCCCAATCCCACCACCACCCAGCACAGATAAACTCCATGGCCAAAACACTAATTGCCAGAACCAAACGCCTGGCAGACAAGACACACATAAAGACTGAACTATGCACCCTGACTAAAGTACTGACAGCCAACAGCTTCCACAAAAGCAAAATCACTGGCCTGATCCACAAAAACACACTGAACAGACCTATGGAACAGCTGTCCTGCCCAACATATAAGAGGTACTACAGATAAAATCAGTAAGGTACTACACAGGCATCACATCAAGACTGCCTTCAAAACCGACAGAAAAATAGCAGCCATCCTAAGAAACCCCAAAGATAAAATTGACCTGGAAAACGAAGGCATATATGAAGTCCCTTGTGCATCATGCCATGCCACATACATTGGACAGACCAATAGAAGAATAAGTACCCTCCTGGATGAACACAAAGATGCAGTAAAAAAGCTGGAACACACTTCCTCACTAGTCCAACACATAAAAGCAACAGCTCATAGCATCGACTTCAATGGCACCAAAACCCTAATCACTATAGAAAACCTCAGCCACAGAATTATCAGAGAAGCCATAGAGATTGAAAAAAGACCTGAAAGCATGAATAGAAGAGATGATTCCACCAGACTGTCAATTATTTGGAAGCCTGCACTCACAAACAAACAAATCTCCACACCACAAGCCAGGCAAACACTTGTGCATAAACAGTTCCCCCCCCACCGATGCCT